ATCAAAGGGACAGAGGGAGGCTTTTGGGAGGCTCTGGGAAAGATCTTCCTCCTCAATAAGAGAGAAGAGTTTGATGGGATTGTGCTGCTTGTTCTGCATTTATATAATTATGAGAGCTGTGATTCTTGGAGCTTCTATAACCTGTGGATCTGGAAGGGAGGGCCTCAGAAGGGTGGGAGGTAAAAAATGAGGTACTGAGTACTGAATCAACACTGGGGCCAGACTTTGTTGTATGTGAGAAATTTAAACCCAGATTATGTAAATCTAGACTTTTAGGTTGCTGTTCTGTTATTTATAGCCACAAGCATTCTGTGTCACTGCTTTCCCTTGTTTCACCAAATTGTGAAGAAAAATACTCATTGACTGGTTGACTCATGGAATGAATTTTATTAAATGCTTATCATGGAATCAAGATTTTTATGAAAGCTATCAAGTGAAGTATAATAGAGCTTATTAGATACATTCTACTTCTGTTGCCTAGATGTACACACATCTTTGCTTATATTTGGACACATAAACAGATCATTTCACCTTAGAATTTTTACTGGTAATTGAAAAATAAGTTTTTGTAATTGTTAATTTTTTTTTAGTTTTATTTGCCAGAGTTGCTTGGCTGAGATGGGTTTTGATTATTGAGAGTAAGGTTGTAGCAAGAAGATAGCATGAAAAGAAAGGTTAAATTCAGTTAATTTAGTAACTTATGTGCCAGATGGTATACTAGGATTCTTTCTAGGATCACACTGAGAATTAAATAATTTAGGGAGATGGTGTTGAGATTTTAGTAACTGAATTGAAGCTTTTGCTTTGAATATGTTAGCTTTTGAACACAGTATAAGCCCTGAGCTACATGGAAATTGACATTTTCCTTGATGGGAGAAATAACTCTAGGCTTTAAGGTTATCCATTCAATCATTGCTGAAGTTAATACAATTGGCTACCTAAATTGACTATCCTGTTGATATGTGTCATTGTTAACATCCCAGTGAGATACACATTCCTCCAGACTGCAAGGCATCCCAAGAATGAGCTAGGAGGCCTATAGGCCTATAGGAAAATAATTAAGGAATTCTTTTCCTTGAATTAGTAGTTACATTCTGAAATTTTCTAAAAGGAATGCTTTTGTAACAGGATAATTTTAGGAGAAAGCAGTAAAAGAATTTGGTATGAACTTTAGAGTTTTTATATACCTGCTTTGTATTTAATGGAAATGCACAAATAAAATGAGTCTTATAAGTTCTGGAGTCAGAATTCTGTTTTGGGTTCTTTTGGGCTAAATGGAACCAGGCATTGGCAAGCCTGGTTCCTTTCTATAGGCCTTGTGGAGGGTCTGTTTTCTTGCCTCTTCTAGCTTCCATAGCCCTTGGGATCCTTGGGTTTTTTAGCCCCTTCCACCATTTTCAAAGACAACAAGAGTTGGTTGAGTCCTTGTCACACATTCTGTCACTCAAATATTGAGTTTTCTTTGGTCTCTCTCTTCCACTTCAATTTATTTATTTATTCATTCATTCATTCATTCATTCATTCATTCATTCATTCATTTATTTATTTATTTATTTGTGGTGGTACTGGGAATTGAATCCAGGGTCTTACCTATACTAGTCAAGCACTCTACCACTCAGTACATACCTGGCCCTTTTTAAAATTTTTTATTTTTGAGAGAGGATCTCACTAAGTTGCCCAGGCTGGCCTCAAACTTGTGATCCTGTTGCCTCAGCTCCTGAGTATCTATATTTACTGGTATGTACCACCATACACTGGCTCTCTTCCACTTTTAAGGACCCTTGTGATACTTTGAGTCACTATAATAATCTAGGATAATCTCCCTATCCTAAATTCAGTTGATCGACAACCTCAATTCCCTTTTGCCATGTAATCTAATATTCACAGTTCAAGGAATTAGGGTATGGACATCTTGAGGAGGCTTAGTTATTTCTGCCTAACACATGATAGTTGCTACAGAGATGTCTCTGATCATAGGTTCTCTTGGTGTTGATAATCTTTCTTTGTGGAGTGGAGTGAAATTTGCAGTGTTTTTTTTTCCATTTTTCTCCATTTTGTGGTTTTTAAAGTTTGAAATTATGTTTAGAATTAAGTTTGCTATGAATAGTATTTAATTGCTTTATCATATTTTGATTTCTATCTTGTATTTTCAGCACAGGCACATTTGAGACCTAATAATACAGGCATACTACAACAGGATTATTATAGGACAAGGTCATAAAGTTAATTGTTCACTTTCACTCAATGTTTTTAAGAGCCAGACCTTTATGGAAGTTATTCATTTTAGAAGAAGTATATAGAGAACATTACCTAATTTGTAATGTGAGTTAAGGGACAATACAGCTTCTCTAACTTTGTCTAAATAGCATATGATAACCTGATAGAAATTGCAGATTTGAGAACTTTACTCATTAATTAATTTCTGGGTTTGTTTGTATAACTGCTTTTGGTTACATATAAGTACACACTCAGTAAATGAAGTGTTTTCTCATGATCTTTGTGATATAATATTTTCACATAAAATTTGCATCTGTTCATAGTACTTTTAATTCTCATTTAATACAGGTAGTATTTCCTTGATCACACCCCTATCTATTCAGAATTGAAAATACTGTTGAAGGGAATAACTATCTCTTCCACAGGACTTTTTGCCTCCTGTGTCATATTCATAATCCCACAATAGATAATAGCCCATACCATACATTATGAATATGTAAACAGTGGTGATAAATTAGCACCTATCTTTGAGATTCAGTATTACAGCACTAGGAGAGTAGTGATGTTTTTGTGATTCCCTTAACTGTTTTGGGGGGGGGGAGTGAATAGACTTACTTTATATTGAGAAAGAATGAATAATGTAATACACATTCAAGTAAATAGATCTTTGTAGCCAACTTTAAAGTCTGGTAAAAGGGAATAAGTCAAATAAATTTTGGTTCTAAAATTATAGACTAGGCTTGGACAATGGAAAATGCTCAGGGGTTACTCACATCTGCTGTGGGAATGCAGTGCTGATACTATAAATGGGATTTCAGAAAGATGGTGGCCATAGAGCTATGCCACTATCCACAGATTCTCTTTATAAATTTGCCAGGTGCCCAGCCCTTGCCTGGAGAAAAATTCAGCATAAAGAGAGTATGTCCTACAGTGGAAAAAGTATGAAAAAGACAAGTTATATAGCCGAATTCCAAATTTTATAACTTTCATTGTCATTAATTAGCTCATAAAAGTATAAAATAAACATCATAAATTTTGAGGATCTCAACAGGTCAAAAAAATATGAGTATCTGTTGCTTTAAACATGGATAAAATATGCACTCATGTCAGTAAAAGGAGAGGGAAAAAACTTACAAGTTGTTCCTGTGACTTTTATGGAAAAAAAGGAGAGAAAAAATTTAAGCTAAAGGAAGTGAAAAAAGATTCAAAAACATCAGTGATATGTAAATGAACATAAGAAAGCACAGGCTCCATGGGGAAGAATCTCACTCTTCAGAGGAGAGATTCAAGAGGTTGAATTTAGCCATTTTATGTCTATTCTGGAATTCCAGGACCCTACAGAATGTGAGAAAAGTGTTACAGCAAAACCTCATGGATACTGCTACCATTCTCTTTCCCTAAGGGGGACTTTTTCTTACATGAAAGGAAGAACTGCATTCCACCTGTCAACTCAGCATAGGACAGCCTTCATAAATATGAAAACAGAACCAAATTAGTAGACATTTGAGATAAATAAAAGGTTTTAAAGAGAATGAGTTTTGTACTTAAAAAAAATGAAAAAGTCTAATCTCTGAGTAATAAATGATTTTCTAAGAATAACTTAAATTATGTGTAATTAATATCCTTAGAGGAATCTAGGTATATATTGCACAGAGACTGTTTAGTATATAGTCTATAATTATTTAAAACTTTAGCTGTGGGTCCAGACAGCCTGTGTTTGAAACCTGGTTTTACCACTAACTAGTTGTTTGGGTCTCAATGTGCCTCAGTTTCCTCACCCAAAATAGGGATAATAATTTACCTAATTTGTAAACTAATTTTGAAAATTAACTAATACATAGAATAACACCAGGTACACAGTAAACATTACTTTTATTATAATCATGTGAACTCATAAAAATTGGCTAATATGAAAAAGAAATAATTGTAAATCTTGAGAATAAGAAATATGATTGTTGAAATGAACTCAATTCCCTGTGGTTCTAGGTGAAATTTCTGACAGAAAGAACATTGGGTTGACCTAAGTAGTTATTGTGTGTGGCCCAAGTTTTCCATGTGGGCTATTATCCAGACTATAGATAGGTCACCTTGAGCCTGGCATCTCCCATAGTAGTTCCAGTCTCCATGGCATGGGAGAGCTAGGTGGTCATCTGAAATAAGGCTGATCTAGGGCTGCCTTTTCATCAGCAAGGCGCATTTGCCCTGGAGAAAGGCAGCGTGACCACAGTATATGCTCCAGCCAACATGTTACTAGTCATTGCACAATTCCCCTTTTCTTTTAAATAAAGTGACTACCATTGAAAATAGCAATTGCATTTAGAGATTGAGTAATACAAGAAAGTAAATATTCAAGAGAATGCAATAAATGACCTGACAACAGTTCTTTGTTTACTGCTTTGTAAACCTTATAACACATTCGTTTATCTTTTGTAGATAGCTTGGTTATAATGTCTGTTTTGTTAGGATTCTTAAAATCTTGGATGAGTTAGTGATAAATATCAGGGAAATTTATTGCCTTGATATTTTAATAGCTAGTTTGGATTTGAAAAGAGATTTTTGAGAATTTTGCAAATTCCAAGATAACCTTTAAACCCTCTTAAAAATATATTCTGGTTTATCTTTTATTATGTAACCCAAAATTAGTGCTGAATTTATGGCATATCAGGGTTTGTTATTATGATAGTAAATAATTTATACTAAAATTAAAAACTTGAAAAGTTATATGTAATAATATGTAGATATTGGTAATGAAACTGCGCAAATGTTCGTTAAATTTATTCCAGGTTGGGCCATGCAGGCTGCTGCCTATATCTTTATTCATAGGAAGTGGAAAGATGACAAGAACCATTTTGAAGACATGATTGATTATTTTTGTGATATCCATGAACCACTTCAGCTCCTCATATTCCCAGAAGGGACTGATCTCACAGGTAAGACAGCCTGGGTTTGTATCACAGAATTTTAAAGCATCTAGTTAAAACTTCTTATTCCTTGGATGAAGTAACTGAATACCAACAAGATTACTAGATCACCCTCAAGGTCACTCATTTAATCAATAGGATGTCAGGCCCTAGACACTATTTAATTTATAGGACCCAGGATTCCAGCCCATGGAATTTATTATAGGCAAGCCCAAGTGATCGTTGTTATTCACAACTGCTATCCTAGAACTTTACATTTTAGCCCCAGAATATATTTTAATATTTCAACGCTTTATCTTTATGTAAGCAAATTTTTAATCATATTTTTGGTGAAGTTTGTCCCACCTTCTGTTCTATATATTCTCTTGTCTGCTTTCAAGGTATTTATTTATCCTTTAAACTCTTTTTGCTTTCAGTGCCTTCCTTATCAGAAAAGAATCTGATAGTAACTAATTTCAATTATTGTTGATTTAAGTTAACTTAATTACCTTTCTTTTGATATTTAATCCTTATTCCTCTTGTAGGCAGGAAAGACATTATCTCATCCTTCAAAACAAAACAAAACAAAACAAACAAACAAACAAAAAACAGCCATCATTGAGTTATAGAGGGAAAACAGGAGGACATGTTTAGAACTTTCTATCTTCCCAGATATCAAAAATATTAAAAACAAAATATTGTATACTCTGGCCATGCACAATGGTGCACACCTATAATCCCAATGGCTCAGAAGGCTGAAGCAAGAGAATCGCAAGTTCAGATCCAGCTTCAGCAACTTAGTGAGACCCTAAGCAAATTATCAAGGCCCTAAGCAATTTAGCAAGACCCTGTCTCAAAATTAAATAAATAAATAGGCTGGAGATATAGCTCAGTGGTAAAGCACCCCTGGGTTCAATCCCCAGTACAACAAAACAAAACTAAACTTTACAGTCTATCATAGTTACTAACTTAGTGTTTTCTACAACACTTATTTAAACCCCAGGTCATTTTTACAGATGAAACCTTCTTTTGCAGTCCAGAATGTAAGATGGATAAAAGTGGAACTATCCTGGTTGAATACTGGGAGGAATGATGCGAAGGGGGCATAGCTTCCATAGGAAGCAGTTCTAGAGAATCCTTGGACTTGAAAGAGCAGAATTTAACTTTAATACCTTAAAGGTATCTTTCAGAAAAGATACAGCAGCACATTGAAAGGATCCAGTAGATGAATGTGTGCCTCAAGAGGGAAAACAGACAAAAGCAGAGTAGATGGAAGTCTAAAAAAATAACAAGTAGTATGGAAAGGAAGAACATGTACTAAACAAAGAAGGGCAACCCTTAGAGCTTAAAAAAGAGAACAAGTCAAGTAAATATTAATTCAAAACATGGACATAATAATTTATGGAACAAATTACCCAAAAAGAGTTCATAATAAAAAATAAAATTTATAGAAATATTTAAGTAAGTGAGGATTGACTGATCCACAACTGAGGTTGATAAGGAAAACTAAGGTATTTTGGGGAAGCAGATACCAAAGATAGCAACAAAGAGATCTTTAACTTATCTATTACAGATGGAGCTGAGCTAAATGAATCATGGAAATACTTATTATGAGGACAGTCTCTAAAATACATGCTTATTGTGTAACATCTGTTTGATTTTATGGTTAAAATTTTAAAATCAGGATCAAAGGGAATAATATGAAAGCTAATATTGGCTACCTGTTGCTTAAGCTTGAAAATATATCCATTGTAGGTTTTAAGTTAATTGATTTCCAGTGCCAAACTACCTTTAGAAATTAAACTGGAAAGATAGCCAATTTAAATTTTATAAGACTTAGAATGTATGACGCCTAACCTTGGATATTGAAATGTCAGTTTCGTTTGATGGAGTATAGAAAACAGTTGACCGAATTACATCCTGATTTATTTTTGTGAATGACAAAATGTACACTAAAGAACGTCAGTTTTGGAACTTTATAATAACAATAAAAATAATATAATAATGATAAATAAACACTAATGGGAAAAGGTTCATATGTTGCTGCTCCTCTGGTACATTAGTGTTAACATGTTCCATATATTAGTGTTAACATATTCCATACATTAGACCTTTAGAATCTATAAAATATATTCAAAATGTTTTTTATTTTATATTTTTTCTCAGGTTTCTTTTATAGGTGATGAATTTACATGTAGTCGCAGGCGTTTGGAGTCCAGTGTGTTTCCTATTTCACATTTTTAAAAAGTTTTTTTATTTTAGTTGTAGATGGACACAATATCTTTATTTTGTTTATTTTTATGTGGTGCTGAGGATTGATTGCTGTGCCTTATGCATGCAAGGCAAGAGCTTTTCCACTGAGCCACAACCCCAGCTCCTCCACTGCATATATTTTTATAAGTTAAAATGGCATTTACATCTTAAGGCCAAATTACAAAAGCCAGACTGTTTGCACTAATGAAATAAAAAGTGGGGTCTGGTATTTTGTTTTGTTTTGTTGCAGAATTATATGAGTTAGAAAAAAATGATTTGAAAAGGGCTAAGAAAATATTTTCAATTTGGAAAATTGAAAAAAAAGTGTTTCTGGTTACCAGTTAACTTTCAATTTGAATTTTTAATTATAAAGAGAACATTTTATAATTTTTTTTAAATTTTGAATTCAATTTGCTTGTACATTTCCAAATTAGTGCATTTAAATATGACCTTGCATGCATTCTATCTCCATGTATTATTGTTTTTCTTTTTTCTAATACTATGTATTAGAAATACATAATATATGTTAGTTTTGGAAAGTTCAGAAACAGAAGGATTCACAAAAATTCTTATAATTTCACAGCTCATACATATGTAAACACTATTCTAATTTGGTCCATTTCTTTTGGGTCATTGGTTACAGATACATACATATATAGGTGTCAATGTGTATATGTATATCCATACATATATAATCTTAAACAAAATTGGAAAACTAAGATTATACTTCGTTCTTTTCCCCTTCATGTTATATTGTAATATTCACATCATTATATATTCTTTGAAAAGGTTGAGTAGTTTTATATTATATTGACATATTGGTATTCTCCAGAGAAATAGAAACAGTATACCAATAGGGAGAAAGAGATTAGGTTTATTTTAAGGAAGTGGCTTTTGCATTGATGAAGGCTTGGCCCATCCTCAGGTTAGAGCCTCAGGGAAGAGTTTCAGATTTAATCCAAAGGCTGCCTGGAGGCAGAAGTCCTTCTTCCTTGTGGAGAAGGGAAGGACACACTATCTTTTCCTGTTAAGGCTTTCATTTAATTTAGATGAGGCCTTCCCACATGGTAGAAGATAGTCTGCTTTACTCAGTCTACAGATTTAGATATTAATATATCTTAAAAAAACATCTGGAATAATGTTTGACCAAGTACCTGGGTACAGTGGCTTAGTCACGTTGACACATAAAATTAAATATCACAATTAGAATATTGCACTTTAGAGTTCCAGTTCCCTGATTTGGAAAGGAAAGCTTCCAGACTTTAACACAGTTACAATTTTATATACAATTTAACACCCTTGTATATAAAACATCTTCATTTAATAGATATATATGTTTCTGGGTCTTTATGTACAAAACAGAGTTCCTCCTTTCATGAAGTTAATATGAGGGAAGAGATAAGTAAGTTACAAAAAGTAGGTCTGGTTGTCATAGGTGCTGTTCAGAAAAATAAGGCCAGATAAGGAGAGAACAACAGAAGAAGGCAGGATGCCATTGGATATAAGGTATTTAGGGCAGGCATCTCTACTCTTTCATGCATCTGTATGGTAGGTGAGAAGCCCTGTGGGAAAGGGGAAGAAAAGCTGCATAGACCTGAGGTGGGGACATGCCTGGCTGATTTGAGAAGGAGAGAGAGCCCTGCAGTCCTGTGGGTGGAAGGAGTGCTGTAGTGGAGGAGTTTCAGGGAGTGAGTTGATAGGAGGTTGTGGTCAGAAAGTAGGATGTTAGTGTAATTACTAATAAGAACAAGAGTCTGGGGATGGGTAGGTAAAGTAGGGTCAAGAGGAAAATCTGCATCTAATCTCTCTCTCTCTCTCTGTTTCTACTTTCCCGTGTTGTGACTGTACATTTTAGAACTATTTGTACTTGTATGCACATTAATTGAGAATTCAGTTTTTGTCTTCAGAATCCCCAGTCTTTGACAAATTGGAAGAGCAAACTAACAAGCAGTTACTGTTCATATTTATGTTGTCTCTGGGATTCCTGATTCCATATAAGGTCTGCCATCTACTTGCAACAGAAATACTGTTTGTAGCCCCATGCCCACAGAATTCAAAAATTAATGTAAACAGCTTTTTACTTTACATATTTAGGACCTTTCCTTTTTATTTGCTTGAAATATGTGGGTATTGGATTCCATTTTTTTTTATTATACCATGATGTAATACCTCCTATAAGAGTATTCTTTGAATATTTTAGTATTACAGAATGCATCTGTGGTTTCTGGAGGTTTGGACGGCTTAGTAAATTTACTCCTAGGAAAAGTTGTATTTATGTAGATGTGAAATTTGTAGAGTGTAGCTGAGGATTGCAGATTCTACCATCTGCTGTCATCAGAAGGTATTTTGTGATCGCTCTCAAAAGTCGAGGCCAAATTTCTGAACACTTTACTTTTACCAAATGTATTTGCTGAATAATGGGGTTGGTTCTTCTTGGAACTTGCAAGTTACCTCATGGAATGGAAAAAGAAGGTTTCACCAACAATTGGAACATACACTCTACTCTGTAACTATATTCAGCCAAACCATCTTCAGATGTTTGTACATGATGTGCTAATCATGTGCCCATTCTGTTATGGAGTGGTTTTGGTTAGTAATATTAGCCTGTCCTTTGCCTGAGCAAGGCAGATATTTTACTTTGCATTGAAGGCCTAAATTATTGGGTTAAAAAAATGTTAATCTGATATATATGATTGCTAGTTGTTTCTTTTAGATAGCTAGATCCTTATATTTTGTTAGTTTTTAAGTCTTATTAGCATTTTTAAAAAAATTTTAGTACTTTTTATAATTACATAAGGATTATTTTATTAAAGTTTTCATTTATTAGTTTTATTTCAGTTTTCATTGCATATTGGCTTTTATGAAGTCTTCTAAAGCATTTAAAAGATTTGAATATAGATTTCAGGAAACTTTCATGTAAAAAAATCTATTGATACCGTGTTATAAAAAGTTTTAAAAATTCATTAAATTAGTCAAGAATCTTTGTAATGACCTATCTAAAATGTTTGTATCTTCTTAGTATTCTGTGTTCAGTAATTACAGAATAATACTTGCCATTTTTATCAAGGAAATTCTGCACTTCTTTCCTTACCTCACTATTTGTTACCATTTATTTGATGGTTTCTAATGGTCCGTTGTTTTGTTTAGAAAACAGCAAAGCTCGAAGTAATGATTTTGCTGAAAAAAATGGACTTCAGAAATATGAATATGTCTTACATCCCAGAACTACCGGCTTTACTTTTGTGGTAGAGCGTCTAAGAGAAGGTAAGCACTCATCTCTTTTTTTTCTAATAAAGTGGCAAAATTGCTAAACTTTATATGCTTTATATATAGGTCTTTACATTGTATAATGTTGACATCTGTGACACATAGTTAACTTCACCTGGTAATTGCTACACTGTCATAGAACTGCCTGTGCCTAATATGGAAAGTCTTTAACTATTATATAAGTAAAATTACAAAGTTCTTACTTCTTTCCCTTTGTTCCTTTAGTGTCTAATGTGCTTTAAGATACGAACAATAACCTGTTCAGTTGAAGCTTTTCAACAACTAAGCACTCATGATTTTAAAGAAATTTACACACACTGCCAGTCCAAAATCACATGGAAATGGTACATCAAGAGTGTTGTCCCTGTTAGTTTGGCTTGTTTTAAAATTGTGTGTTTACACACATGTGGCATGGACATGTGAGCTTGGGATCACATTATCTGTGAATAGGGAGCCCATCAACCCATTGAAGGTCATGAAGGATATAATTCATCATCCCTGGGGAATAGGCAAAACGGTACCAAGACCCTACGCTGGTGATACTTCTTTCTTTCCTTTCTCTCTCTCTTTTCCCTCTTTTCCTATGTGGTATCATTTACTGTGGCGTCTAATTTGGACTTGTTCTTTTTGTTCACCAATATGGTTTCTATATTTAATGCTTTTTTTAAAAAAAAAAATTCTGACATCATGTAACACATTCATCTACTAGATGGCTCTGTTAACAGTGTTTGACTTTGGAGCACATCTTTTTGCCAAAAGAGATCTTCCTAAATGTAGGCAGGATACATTAATAATAATGAGAAATTATTTTATAGTGGATAAGAATATATTCATAAAGCCCTCTGTTCTGAAACCTTGGAAATGTTTTAAAAGCAAACTGATTCATAACTTTGCTACACACTTAGGAAATGTGTATTGCTTAGTCATTACTCAAAGCACTAACTAATAATCACAATTAGTAATTTTTCCTGTCAGAACTAGTTCTAATCCTCACCCTTACCCACCCAGCATATATTAGTAAAAAGAGAAAGAGAGACAGATACAGATTATCCCTTTTGCTTCAGCTAGAAAACAAGATGGCAATTTAGATGACTCCATTTATTTAAACTAGAAATGCAAAAAGAAATATTGATTATTGTTAAAATAGTAATTGTAGCTAACATTATTTTAGCATTTAATAAATACCAGGCATTATGGTAGGTTTTTTTTATGTCTAAATTCAATTAATTCTCATAACAACCCTACATTATAGTTGTCACTATAATGTAGGGTTGTTATGAGAAATAATACATAACCAAAGCAGAAACTGAGGTGAAGTATCTCATCAAAGTTATTAGAATATAGGTCTAATAATGTAAAACAAGAAAAGTTACCAAGTTAGAGAATACTTGGAAAGCATACTTATCTTAAATATAGCACCAGTTAGGTAAAATCACACAAATATGTTGTTTCGATAATAATAATTGCAGTAAGTTTACCTTTAGTACCTTGATTGCCACCATTTGTGTACTTGCTTTATAATCCTGCTAGATCATAACCTTCTGTGGAAGGTCCTATACATAAGGGACTCAGTCAATATTATTTGTATGTAATAATTTAAAAATTTTATCTGAAAAGTAAGACAATATAATATTCTAGCATGCTCTTTGCAGAGCATTTTGTATATACTGTTAGGCATCTGTTATGGGTGATTTATTTCATGTGTACCTAATCCAGAGACTTTTAGTATGTGATTGTGTAATTTTTTTCTCACTGCTGGAATAAACCAAACTCAAAAGTAAGATGCTGACTTAGAGGAAAGGGTTCATCTGAAGAAGATTTTTTTTTCTGCTTGTATAACAAATTTATAATGTAGTTGTCATAACACCAAAAATTATTTACATTTGTCATCATCTCTGGTGCTTTATCATGTTTAACAATAATATCTTAAGTGTTTTATTTCAAATAAGTAATCATTTGGCCCACTCATTATTTGATTTTGTTGTGCATTTTGTAAGCCAATTACTGAGTTGTAATCATGCAATAATTACTTTCACCATTGGGCGGCACAAATGTGTGCATTTGAAACAACTTGAAATTAGGCTAGAGTAGCTATGAGTGTGGGATAAAACACCTAACGTTTGTTTCATAGTATGTCTTATTTGAGATAACTTTGTCTTTAAGATATTACAGCATTCATGGGTAGATAAGAATTATATTATTTTTAGATGCTCCCATGTGTATCACATTGGTATAGTTAAATGCTATATTTTGTGTATAGTACATAGATATTATGCCAAATAATTATAAGAGTATTTAATAAAGAGAGATTGTGTACTACTGAAATGTTCAGGTAAGGCTTCTGAAAGATGCTGAATTTCCCTTGGACATTAGAGAGTACATGTGATTTGGACAGGCTGAGAAAACAAGGATGGCTAAGAAAGAGTACAAGAAAGGGCACAGAGTCAGGACCTGTATGGACCTGAGCAGTCACCTAGGAAGAAAATCAACCCAGTAGAGCTAAAGACCAGTTATAAATCAAGAGTCAATATTTAAGAAGGTTGTTTGGAGTCATTAATATAAAAAAAAATTAATACCCCATACAGTCACAACTTCAGTTTGTGTGTTTCCAGATAAAGTCATTTTGTTCTACAATTGTTCTCATTTGCACTGAGAAAACTAGAAGCAAAAGCAGTAGACCAGTCGTAGATAGTCAGTGTTCATCAGCATTGTCATATCATTTTAACTTCTTGGACTTTTTGCTTAGTTCACAGCTATCTGCTGACAATCCAGTGTGTTTATTGTCTGTAGTGACTTTGTCTAGGAGGCCAGCAGAGGCCATCACTGTGTGGCTCACATTTCATTTGTTTCACTCTGTGAGCCTGTCTCAGGACTGCAAGTCAGTTAGCCTTCCCAATAGCCAGCCTGTGGTAGAGGGCAAGGAAGAAAGGCAGACTGACAAACTCCTGAAATATGGGGTGCCTTGTATACCATGTACTCTGACCTTTTCATGTGGCTTTTTATTGCTGGAAAAAAAATGTTATTGTACAATAGACCTTTGACATTTGCTAGGATGTTTTCTGAGACCTTTTCCAGTTCCTGAAATTTGCAAATATCTTTGTAGATTAGCAGTTGACTTTCTTTTGAGGTCATTGTACAAGGAACAAAACTTTTGTCTATTGATGGTGATAAATAAAGTACAACAAAATACTGACTAGTGGGTAAGTATATAGGTCACCCAAGTGACTTGGAGATACGTACATGAAGCAGAAATTATTCAAATTTGCTCAGCAGAATTATATATAACCACATGTTAGAAATCTTTGGGGTCTCTCCATGTCATGTCTTCAGGTGCCATACTTTAGCTTATGAGTGGCAATTCTTTTGTTTTCTCTTTTCATTTTATCCTCCCCCACCTCTAGTAGCAAAAAATCTGAGCTGCTCATTTAGGACAGATCTTATCATTGTATTTAACGGAAAGAAGCATGGCCACCTTAAAAAAAAAAAAATACCATCTAACCTTTATCAAGTACCTACCATGTACTAAGGATTGAATCGTACCCATGTTTTTTACCTTGCTCATGCAGTAGAATCAACCATGGAGGCTTGCAAAAATATCCAGGCTCAGACCTGCTGAATCACCCTGAGTGTAGCATCCTAAGCTCATAACTACTCTCTGCTCACCAGCCACTCTCATCCATATCACTTAATTCTCCCAACCAAGCTAGGCAGTAGCTTGCCCTATGCTACACCTGATCAAACTAGCTCCCTTTAGCAGCTTGCCCTGGGCCTTATAGCTACTGAATAAGGGTACCATAAATTAAACTCAGGTCTGTTTGATGCTAAGGCCTGTGTTCTTTGTACTGTAATTAATAAGTTTATAGTTTTTCTGTTCCAAATATTATAAAAACATCTTCTTTGTAGGTTTTTCCCTCCTTTTCCAAAATTTCTCTGTGATCTCCTTGGCTGTATGTGAGTTTTGTTTA